GCTTACCAAGAACCAGGGAGACCATGGGGCCTTGCTACTGTCCCATGGGCTTACCAAGAACCAGGGAGACCATGGGGCCTTGCTACTGTCCCATGGGCTTACCAAGAACCAGGGAGACCCCACAGGGCCTGCTACTGTCCCATGGGGTTACCAAGAACCAGGGAGACCCCATGGGGCCTGCTACTGTCACATGGGCTTACCAAGAACCAGGGAGACCCCACAGGGCAGTGCTACCCTGTAACACATGGGCTTACCAAGAACCAGGGGGACCTCACGGGACAGTTCTACCCTATAATACTTGGGTGGGGTTACCATGAACCACAGAGCAGCTCTATTTTGTAACTTGGGGCTACCAAGAACCAGGGAGACCCCACAGAGCAGTTCTACCCTGTAACCCACAGGGCGCTGCGAGCCTGGATGGCCCCACAGGGGCAGTTCCACTCTTTAACACAAGGGGGTGCTGTGATCCAGGACATCCCAGGGAGCAGTCATCCCATTCATACAGGTTATCCCTGCGGGATCTCACAACCGGGAGAGGCGCGGGATAGAGCCGGAGAGGTGGTGGTAGATAGCATGTGACATGACACAGGAACACAGCCCGCCCCCAACCTCAGTGCACAGAGAGTGGGTCCAACGGCAGGCCACACTGAAACCAGAGACCTGGGCCCTCAAAACACGACCAACGGAAGGGCACAGAAGGGCCCTGGGGACCAAGAGCAAGGTGTGCCGGGGCAGGGGCCAGTGGGTAAGGCCCTCGTGGGAGAGGCAGCACTAAGCAGTTGGCTGAGACAGTGGAGCGGGCCGCCCTGAGCTGGAGAAACAACGTGGCCGCCCCTCCCCAGGCCTGCAAGAACCAGTGTCTCCTCCTGGCGAAGCAGCAGAGCCAAGGGGGCGCGGGCAGGGTGGGTGCACCAGGAGCAACACCGTTCCCTTCCTCGTCGTGCCCCTGCTGTTGGGCAGGGACATGGCCTCAACACTGACCGTGGAACTACGAGGCCTCTATGCATCTGTCTCCCCCCGTCTGGAGCAAGAAGGTGCCGACGAAGGTCTCAAGAGGCCAGTCATCCAAAGGGACGAACAGGGCCCAGGACCCGAGGCCCAGGACTGGGTGGTGCCTGGCTACAATGCTGCCCGGCTCTGAGAGGGGAAGCCTCTTGTTCCTCACGAGGAGCAGCTGGTGGGTTTGCACTGCCGACCTCAGCAGTCCACAGCACAGCCCCGCTACACCACCACTGCTCCCTCAGAAGCCTGGACCCGGAGGCCAAGGCCAAACCGCCCACCTCGGGGGTTCCCTGAGGCTGTAAACCTTTGCAGGGGCGGCCAGCCCCTCCTTCCTCACAGCGACCCTGCCCACAGCACCACGGGCTCCCAGAAGCTAGGAGAGCGGGGGTGGGACGGCCTGCACAAGGCAAGCCCCAGGTGCTGTGTGGGACCCACAGGGCATAGGTGCCCCTGTCTCCTCCCATCAGACACAGAGAGGGGACCCCCAGCCCCTTGGGTCCCAAGCTGACTGCAGGCCCCTCGGTCGCACCTCGGTGGGCGATCTCTGCCCTCAGCAGCCCCTCCATGGCATCCGACTCGGCCAGGTCCAGGGGCAGGTCCCCGTCACTGTTGACTGCAGCGATGTTGGCCCCATGGCTCAGGAGGTACCTAGGGGGAGAGGTGAAGTCAGACCTGGCCTGGCTGGCTTCTCTGCTGGCGCTACTGCCCTGGGCCTCACCTGGCGATGTCTAGGTACCCGCAGGAGGCGGCCACGTGCAGGGGTGTCCAGCCCTCGTTGTCCGCCTGGTTCACGGTAGCACCCTGCTCCACCAGGAAGCGCACCACCTCCAGGTTCTCATCGATGCAGGCCTGTGGGCGGGGGCGGGGCAGTGGTCAACCAGCCCACCACGGCCAGGGGAGCAGGACCCGACCCGCCAGGCGTAGGGTCAGGTCAGGAGACAACTCCAGGGCCCGCTGCTCCCCGCCCCAATCCAGAGCCAAGTGAGGACCATGACCACTCAGGTCTTCCAGCCCCCAAATTAAGTTTGCCCCAGGAATCCTGACCCAGCCACACTCTCCCAGACCAGGAGTCCTGACCCCCAGCCCTCCTCCCTCAGTCCTGAGAGTCCTGACCCCCAGCCCTCCTCCCTCAGTCCTGAGAGCCCTGACC